TAAATCGACAGCAGGACAATCCAGCACACTCCCTGAATATCTGACTACATTAATTCTGAAAAGCTCTTCAAAGGCCCAGAGAAGATGGCAGAGAAGCTCCAAGATACAGCTTGGGAACACTGACAAGCAAAGCCTTAAGGTACCTGGGTCTGTAGGACAGCCTTTGTTTGCCTCAAGCCTTGAAGGAACAGGAGGTTACTGGTTAGGGAATTGGGATGCTGCAGTTATGGGTCTGAAGCCACCACTCGGTAGATAATGACCTGGCCTGATTCATTGAAATTATCTGGCCTTCAAGGTTTCCCTTTATAAAATGAGAACAGGGACGCCTGGGAGGCTCAGTCAGTTAAGTGTCTGCCTTCAGCTCAGGTCATGATCCCAGAGTCCCAGGACTGAGCCCTGCATTGGGCTCCCTGCTCAGCGGAGAGCCTGCTTCTCCCTCTGCCCCTCCCCGCTGCTTGTGTGCTCCCTCTCTCTCTCTCTCTGTCTCTTACTCTCTTCCTGTCAAATAAAATATTTTTAAAAAAATAAAATAAAAAAGTAAAATAAAATGAGAGCAATCATTTCTGAGTTACCTTCTCCATCATTGCTCCAAGGACTGGCGGATAGCGGTCAATGTATCCATTCAACTCCAATGAGATGACTTTAGAGACACGTGGAAAGGAGCCACAGCTGTGCTCTCACAGAAATTGGGCCAGCGTGTCTGCTGCCCTGCCTTAGTTTTGCCAAGGTTTGTGCTGTTTATACTAAGGTGAAAATTCATAGAAAACAGACTCTGGCTTTTCCTCCTTAGATCTCTCTTCCCGGCTCCCTGACCTCAACAGAATCCTTCCTATGGCAGGTGGTAGTGGGAAGGAAGGGACAGTTGAGACCCTGAGTATCTCTGGGACTTCACTAGTCCCTCATCCTGAAAGCTCTTCCTGCCACCCCCTGCCCTCCACCTACTACTTCCATCTCCCTAAGTCCTATTTATCTTTCAGGCCTCAGCTCAAAGAACATTCTCTTATTCCTAAATGTTTTATGATTTCCCTCAGCTCGATGTCATTTTTTTTTTGCCTTCTTTGATCCCCCTGGGGCTTCCTATCTTTCATTGCAATAACTATGCCCTGACAATTCCCTACACATACCCATTTGAGCACCTATATTACTCTCCTAATAAATTTCACATTCCCCGAGGCAGGGGACTTACTCTTTAAGCTCATGCAACAAATAAATAATTTTTGGCATCCTCCACACTGTAGTCCAGACAGAATTTGGTATATAAATACTTTTTGAATTGAGTTGAAAGAATATAAATTGAGGACATGCATCCATGTGTTGGTGCCCTAAATAACAATAGCCTGAAAGGATACGGTTGCCATAATAAGAAATAGAAAAATGAAGAGTCTGTGACTCCCAGCCAGATGGTTCTCTATTATGAATTTTGTGTCTTCATTTGATAAGGTACTTCCCTCCATCATTAATATGATGACCCCAGAAATGGGACAGTCCAAACAGAAGCCAGGGCTCAATCTTCTGCCTGCACTCAGAGGCAAATGATTTCTGTAGAATTTTACAATTCATAGCAGAGGCTACACATATTAACCAAGGTCAGTGACCCCTCTGTTTGCGTTATAGTAGGAGCTGTCACTGAGCCACATCCTCTCTGGGAGACAGTCCATGCACCCAAGATAAAGTTTGAAGAGGCCCTTGAGCCAGAAGAGTTGTTTGGCAAAGTGCCTATGTCTCTTGTCATGTACTCTCTGGGTTGGTGGGTTCCTTTCTTCAGGGTCACAAGAGTTCCCAAAGCAAAACTGACATCGGGAAATGGTCGTGGTTATCTCTCTACTCCTGAGCAAGTCACTGGCCCTCTTTGGACCTCAGTTTCCACTAGAAGGAGGGGGATTGAAATAACTTTTAGAGGTCCCTCTTTCCCAGCTCTGATATTCCAAGACTCCATTCTGAGCTGCGGGCTGAATTCCTAGGCTTTCTGGGCCTTCTCTTCCCTGCTCCTAAAGGTAGAGATGGCTCAGATTTTCCCATGGGCCTCAGCCAGAACATGCTTACCTGTTCACTGAAATAGTGTGGCTCTGCATGTGATGACTGTTTATCTGCCATCATAAAAATGTCCTTTGTCCGGGGGAAGTTACAAGAGAGTTATTATCACAGACCTTCATTAGGTCTCCCCCTGATCCAAGTTATCTCTGGTTGGTTTCACTTGAAAGTGTCCATGCTGTAGACAATAGCTTCATGGAAAGTGTCCATGCTACAGAGAGTAGCTACATGGAAATTGCCCATGCTACAGAGACTTTGGGGATACCAAAATACAGAAAGGAAGCTGCTGAGTCTGAAAGTATTCATGCTCAAGGCATCATTATTCATTAAGTAACTGACTTGGTATTACATGGTTATAGATCATGAAGAAGTTCAAGTTCATCAAGTTCTTCAACAGAAAGCAGTCAGTGTGTTGAAACTGCTCACCATCTTTGAGTTGGCCTATTGAATGTGTGGGTATGATGATTTGTTAGAACACTAGTATGTCAGATTGGAAGAGAACATATAGCTCAGCTAGTTCAAACCCCTGTTCTACCAAGTGGATAACAGAGCTAGAGAGGAGGCAGCCATATAACAGTTTATGGTAGTCAGGAACAGGCTTAGGACCTCTAACTGCCAGGTCTGTCTACCTTATATTACTCCCAAACAGAAGTCACCAAGTGCTCTCCCCTTCATGCCTTCCTTAAGCCTTCACTATAAATCTATTTAGTTTTATTTTTATTAACTTCTAATAAGAGCAGCTTAACTAGTTTCTATTTTACGACATATTTCAGTTAACAAACTGATAAAAAAAAAAAGACACAAAATAAAACACTACATAAGACAGGGGAGGCATAAGAATTACAAAGGAATTATAGTCTGGGATGTTCCATTCAGGGCAAGTAACATGACACAACGCAATATCCCCAAGATGGTTGACTTTCATAATAATGTCCCGGGATGACAAAAAAGGGTTAGCATGTTTCACCTAAGAAAGCAGGGATTTGTATAAAGCACTTTAAAAAGCATTACACCAAATAATGATGATGATGATGATGATGATAGTAATAATAATAATAACAATAATAAATTATAGTCAGGTAAACTTCAGCTATCTGGAAAACTCAGATAACCAAAATCACAAACCAGCCGTGGTGGGTAGAGGAAGTGACTGTGGGCAGATAGGTACATTCTACAGTAATAAGGCTGGTGTGAGTTTGGTTAGTATCTGCAGAGAAGAGGAATAAACAGCAAAGCCATGATCTCATCTTCTGTTTACACTTCAATTCCCAAAGTTAGTGATTAATTGTCCTTGTGTTTTGTTGCCAGGGCAAATTGTTTTTCTTTAAAACTCCCACTTATCTTAAATAAATAAATCATTAGTTTCAAAACAGAAGTGTCAAATGTCAAGACACTTCTGACATACTAAGCTAATGAACAAAACAATGAATGCGTTAGAAGCTACTAGAGATAGGCAGAGCTTTTGAGAACTTTCCTTTAATGACTTTGAAAGGCAGCAAAATCATTCTTGCTAAGAGGATTTTCTCATGCATCTTGGCTAAAATGTCAATCTAGAGGTTACAAACACAAACACAACCTTAAAAGAACCCAGTTAGTGTAAATGATAGAGTGGCAGGTAGGCCAAGTATCCACAGTCAAGTAAATATACCAACCAGCTACCATATTGTGCTTCCCAAACCAAACTCACACAACATCAGCTTACGCAACCAGTTTAGGATTTCTACTTGGGTCCCTGAATTTACACAGGGCCTCTGGCTCTTCCAAAGTAGGGAATTCTTTTAGCAAATAGGTCATTTTTGCCTCTGAGTCTTAATACAAACACAACCATTTCAGGGAAGATTCCAGTCATTTCTGAATTATGAAGACCACCTATTAAATATAGTTCTAATTACACAATTTCCCTGTTGAAAAGTTCTCAGTGTCTCTCCTTTACTCACAGAATGAAGAGTCACATAGTGTTATTATGGTATTCAAGCTCAGTCATAATCTCATTTCAACCTATCCTGCAACGTACCGCTCCTCTAATCCTCACAGACTCCCTGACTTCTCATTGTTCTCAGAACAGCCCTCGCGGGGCGCCTGGGTGGCTCAGTGGTTAAGCGTCTGCCTTTGGCTCGGGTCATGGTCCCAGGGTCCTGGGATTGAGCCCTGCGTCAGGCTCCCTGCTCAGCGGGAAGCCTGCTTCCCCCTCTCGCACTTACCCTGCTTGTGTTCCCTCTCTCATTGTGTCTCTCTCTGTCAAATAAATGAATAAAATCTTAAAGAAAAAAAAAAAAAAAGAACAGCCCTCGCATTTTAGTTCTTGACCACAGACATTTGTTGGGTAACTGCTAAGCACTAGTCCCCGCTCCAAATACTGAAAACACATCTGCAAAGAAAACAAAGTCTCCGCTTTCCTGCAGTTTCCATTCTGATGGGATCTTTCATCTCCTTCCGAGTGCATGCGTTCCCAGTGCTTGTGTTCCTGTTGAAGCCCTTGTCACACTGTATAATAGGCCTGTCTGTGTTTCCATCCATCTGAACTCTGCCTCCCCGTGCACAGCTCCCGTGCTTTGCTCACTGGCAGGCACCCACTGAATGCTCAATGAATGACCTGGAGTTCGTCTCTCTTCTTTGGAAATGTGATCAGTTCCTATTGCATATGGAATCTATCCGTGAGATTATCTAACTCTTCCTGAATTCTAAAATTATTTTCAACAAATAAGCCATTTTGTTGTCAATAGGAATGACAGATGTCAAGCTACTTCTGATGGACCCTATAAAAGTGAATGAAGCAGTGACTGAACAGCCACATAGACTTACCCCATACTGTGTCGTTCCTCAAGTACCACAATCCCGAATCCCCTTTCTCTGGGTTTCCCAGGCTGCCTGGTCTGCTCATGGGCAGGCTCTTCCTCTTTCTCCTGGAGACCAGCAGGGGAGCTAATTTGGGAAGCTGCTCATCTTGTTTCCTCTCTCTGACCCCAAAGGTAGAAACAGAAGAGCAGGTGTTGGCAACCTTCTGTGGCCGGGAGACTACAGACACAGAGCAGACCCCCGGCCAGGAAGTCGTGTTCTCCCCTGGCTCCTTCATGTCCATCACTTTCCGGTCGGATTTCTCCAATGAGGAGCGATTCACGGGCTTTGATGCCCACTACATGGCCGTGGGTAAGTGGGAGAAGTGGGTGGCTCATCCCTACTAGGTCTCCCTTTCGCTCTAAAGACTGAAAGTACTGTGTGCTCTCTTCTTTACAATAAACACCTATATACTCACCATAGAGATTCTGCCATTAATATCTTATTACATTTTCTCTATCACATATCTCCCATCTGTCTATCCTCTACATATCCATCAATCCATCCTTTTTGATGCATTTCAAAGTAAAATGCAGACAGCAGTACACTTTTTCCTAAATAACTCAGCATGCATATCATTTTGCTGAAGTTCAATATCTATCCACAATTTTCTTTCTTTGAATATAAAACTTACATTCAATGAAATGTATAAACCTTAAGCACACTTGTTGAGTTTTGAGAAATTTATTTTTATGTCACCCAAACGGCTAATAAGATATTGAACTTTACCATTGACCCAGAAAAACTCCCTTACGTTCCTTCCCAATCACACTCTGCTCCTATCTCCCTTAGAGACAACAACTGTTCCAATTTTTTTCCACCATAGATCAGTGTTGCCTCTTCTTAAACTTCATATAAATGAACATACACAAAATACATTTGAAGTGAGGATTCTTTTCCTTAGCATAAAGTTTTTGAGGTTCAGTCATGTTGCAACGCATTGGTAATTTGCTCCTTTCCTGGCAGAGTAATTTTCCATTGTATGAATACACTACAATCTTTTTATCCATTCTTCCACCTGCACTCTATCCATTTTTTTGGCTCTCATTAAAAAAGTTTCTATGAGCCTTCTTGTACTAGTCTTTTTGTGAACATGATTTCACTTCTATTGGGTAACTATCCAGGAGCAGAATTGTTGGGTCATAGGGCAGGTGTATATTTAGTTGTATAAGAAATTCCCAGACCTTTTCCAAAGTGTTTTTGCACCATTTTATATTTCTTCACCAATGTATGAGAGTTTGATGTTGTCAATTTTTAAATTTTTAAAATTTAAAATTCCGGTGGGTTATGTAGTGGTACCTCATTATGGTTTTGATTTATATTTCCCTGGTGATTAGTGATGTCATGCATCTTTTCATGTGCTTGTTGGCCATTCCTGTATCTGTTGGGGGAAAGTGTACCATCAGATCTTTAAATTGGGTTGAGAGCATACTTTTTAATGTTTACATTTCCACTGCCCAGGGAAGTAGGATGTAGAGAGAGAGGGGCAGCATGGACTAGAAGGAAAGAATGGGTTCTGGAGCCAGCCTACCTGGGTATGAATGCTGACTCCACCACTTACCATCTCTGTGACTTGGAGTAAGCTCTTTAAAGGCCCCAAGTCTCTGTTTCATCATCTGTGGAATGTGGATGGTAAGAGTCCTGCTTGCTATGACCACAACTGTTAGAGGGCAGTGGCACCACCAAGAGTCAGCTTGCCTGGCCTTGAACCTGGCTTTCTGTGATCTTGGGTAAGTTGCCTTGCTGCTCTGAGTTCCAGTTTCCTCATTTGTAAATGGAAGGAATGGCTACTTTGGGGCTTTATGTGAAGCTAACACAGGGAGTGGCCCATACGACGTGCTCTGTAGATGTTGCCTGTTGTTTTCATCCTCACACATGGACTGATTGCCCTGCAGATGTGGATGAGTGCACCGAGCGGGAGGACGAGGAGCTGTCCTGTGACCACTACTGCCATAACTACATCGGCGGCTACTATTGCTCCTGCCGCTTTGGCTACCTCCTCCACACAGACAACAGGACCTGCCGAGGTGGGGCCTGCGGATCACACTGTATAGCACCATTTCGTGCCATGTTTCTCAATAAGATTAGGGGAGGCTCGGAGGAGGGACGGATGTGGAGTAGGAACAATAAGAAATGAAGCCAGAGATCTCTGCCTCAGATCCCACATGGACGAAGATGCTGAAATGCCCACCAGCGGGGAAGTCTGGGTTCAGGTTCTCAAAGGACCACATTTGAGAAGCCCTAGCCTCTAGGCCATCTTTCTTCCTCAGCAGCAGGGATTTCTGCTCTCCTACTGTAGGTAACCAGCCTGGCCAAGTTATGGGAAAACCTAGGTTTCCCAGTCCCCTCTCTCTGAGCCATGAGCTTGATCTCACCCAGCAGTTCCTTTTCCTCTTCACTCCCATGGTCTCCCAAGTTCCTCTGTGATCGAAAGAACCTCAGTCCAAAGGAAAGATGTGGGAGGAGAGACACAAAGAGAGACAGCAAGAAAATGCCCCATTCCTTCTATCTCTCTTCATTTTCATGTCTAGTCAACGTGCCCACTTAGCTGTTGTGTCCAGGCAGGGCAGGGATGGAGAAATGGAGAAATGGAAGGCTTCAGCCACTTTCCATGAGAGCTTCCCTGGCTAGTGGGGTAAGCGCCACAGAAGTAAATGGTGAAATGTAGTTAATGCTGTAAAAGAAGTGTGGGCTCAGCACAATCTGATCTGAGTCTACACGGTGTGGCGAGCAAACATGTCCCAGAGATAGTGGCCCTTGGCAGAGATGGAAGAAGAAGGAAAAGGAGGGTGCTCCAGGCAGAGAGGACAGCTTCTGCAAACATTTAGAGGCCTGATAGAACTTGGCATATTTGGGGCATTGACAGCAGATTAGTATGGATGACTACAGGGTAAGGATCTGCGTTTTAGGAGTGTCACTTGGAAGCCGACTAGGGGATCATTGGAGGAGAGCAAGGCTGGAAACAAGGCTTCCTTTCCTTCCTCCTTCAAATACTTCCCTTGCTTCTGAATAAAACCCTCATGTGACTCATCATTATAAAGCAGGCATATACAGAAGTTTTCTTCAAGAGGGCTATATTTTCCATGGTTTTCATTCAGTAGGTGTTGACTGAGTATCTACTACATGTTAAGTACAGGGGGAGCTAAGAATGAGCAGAGCTTCTCAATCTTTGTTTTCAGTTTCTCCTCTGCCTCCAGGAGCCTTTTTAAACATTATCTTCCTAATTTCCCCTATCTGTGAAATTTTAATACCACAGATAATACTATAAATGAGTTTATGTACTCTGTCCATCTGTGTATTATGCATAAAAAGAGTAACCTCCCCAAACAATTTTAGCCCCCATGGGGGCAATGTCACCCCCCAGAGAGTGCTTGAGGTAGGAAATGAAAACAGATGAGGATTCAAAAGCCCTCTCCTAACCATGCTCTGAAGCTCACAGCTATAGGACTTCACGTTAGCCCTGCCCCCTCTCTGAACCAATTTTGTCACTTGCAAATGAGCACAATAACAGGGGCTTAGAAAGGATTGATATCCCAGATCTAGGATGGGTCAGCCCAAAGAGAAAGGTTTTGTGCCCAATAAAGGGTCTTTGCAGGGCTAAGCCATGGCCAGGATCCCAGGACACTGGGTCCTTGTTGCAGCTACAGTGGGGAACAAAGCAGAATCCTTGAACTCAGGGAACATACAATCTAGTGGGGGCAAGAAAATCCACCAGCAAATATATTGCATAATATCAGGTAGTTGTCAGCAGCAAGAGGAGAAACAGCAAGTCCAGGGGCCAGAGAGTGAGGGTATGTGTGAGGGTCCTGTGTTGGATGAGGGATCAGGAAGACTTTGAACAGACAATGGAGTCCTGGGCTGAGGGGAGAACAAGACATAGGAGGTCCAGATGTCTCCCCCTACCACTCCATCTCAAAACCTTTCCATCTCAGACCTCTCCTGCCCCCTCACCAATACCAGAGAATCTGATAAGAAGGCTTATCACACTTACAGCCTTTGAGTCTTGACTCTGAAAATTACTAGGTGTGTGATCTTGGATAAATTACTTCTCCCTGAACTTCAGTCTACCCATCCGTAAAATGGGGATAGTGATGCCTTCCCTGATTGCCTCTCAGGAGCAGTGGGAAAAATTGTACAGTAACAGATAAGGGAGGGGTTGCTGTGGCCATGGTTCTGATGTGCCACTTTGCTCTGGTATGTTTCCCACAGTGGAATGCAGTGACAACCTCTTTACCCAGAGGACCGGCGTGATCACCAGCCCGGACTTCCCCAACCCTTATCCTAAGAGCTCAGAATGCTTCTACACGATAGAGTTAGAGGAGGGTTTCATGGTCAGTCTGCAGTTCGAGGACATTTTCGACATTGAGGATCATCCCGAGGTGTCCTGTCCCTATGACTACATCAAGGTAAGCCTACAATGGATGCTGGGAAATCTTGGCTGAATTGGGAAAATTGATATTCTTGGCCCTCTACCTTCTCCCAGGATAGGGGACCAAGCTGCTTGCTTCCCAAAATAGCATCTATTTACTTAAAATAGCATCACCAGCTTAATCAGATCCAGCCTAGGGGATCTTCCCTGATTGACACTAACTCCTTGGCCACCTGTAAAATCCCCTTTGCCATGTTAATTGACATCATCATGAAGTGATGGTCACAGGGAAGGTGAAGGTCACAGGGACCATCTTAGAATTCTGCCTACCATACGCAGTATCCCAGGAGCATTGCTGTGAGCCTTCTCCAGGCGTTTAACCTCATGGGGCTTCACTTTTTCCCCCATCCACAATAAGGGTGATAAGATGGAGATATCACCCAGGATTGTAGAAGTCACCAGGTGAGGTTCAGAAGTCCTGGTCCTTGGAGATGGAAAGAAAAAGAGTTAGAGGACCTGGGCCTGAGAGTCAGGAAATCCAGATCAGCTAATAGTGCCTACTTCCTTCCCTCCATTCCCCACTGACTCCATCCTAGGCTAAACCCCATTATCTCCGCTGCAAAGCTTCCAACTGGTTTTCTTGCTTCCACCCTTGCCCTACATAGTCTGCTCTCCATGGCATCGAGGCTGATCTTTATAAAAGCCATATTAATTCAGGATTGCTCTTGGAAGTAAATGTAATTCCTCAACACAATGTGGCGCTTGCCTGTCTTTCCTACCTCATGCTATGGTACGCCCTCTGTTTCAGCCACTCTGGCTTCCTTTGTGTTCTTAATACTTGCTGAGCCCTTTCCCACCTTTGACCTTGACCTTTACATATGCTGTTTTCTCTCCCTGGAAAGTATTCTCCCCTCCTCCTTATGTCTCAGTTCCAATGTCACCTCCTCAAAGAAGCCATTCGTGACCACCTATTTAAAGTTTTATTAAAAAATAAATGAAGTGTAATCTATTATATAAATAATGAGTTAGATAGGTTACTTAGATTTTATTACATAAATTATAAATATATAGCATATATTTATATGTATATACCGTCCTGTTTATTTTTATAATTCTTGCCACAACATGTAATTATTTTGCTTGTTATTTATTGTCAGTCCCACCACCCCCCCATCCTTGCCATCCTCGACTAGACTGCAGGTTCTTTGAGAGCGAGACCTTTTCTATCCTATGCACCTGGACAGGGCTCTGTCCCTTTCTGAGTCATAGAATATTCATCTTTGAGCAGAGGGTTATTAGCCTGCCTCATCCACTTCCAAGACTATTGTAATCTCTAAATGAGAGAGTGGCAATGGAACTGTTTGGTGAATGGTAATGCCACTAAAAATATGAGTGAATACTATGGGTTCACATGGAGACTTCCAGAAAACCAGGGTGTAGTATAGAGATGGTCCCAGCAGCTGCCACCACTGCTCAGATGTGACCCTTTTTCTCTACCTTGCCCCTCACAGATTAAAGCTGGTCCAAAAGTTTTGGGGCCCTTCTGTGGAGAGAGAGCACCAGAACCCATCAATACCCAGAGCCACAGCGTCCAGATCCTATTCCGCAGCGACAACTCAGGGGAGAACCGGGGCTGGAGGCTCTCATACAGGGCGACAGGTAACACGGCCTCTCTCCGTGGGTCATGCTTGGTCACTGTGCTCAGCCCTTGTGGGGCAATAGCTGAGGGATGAGGGGTGCAGGCCTGGGACTCCTCTGGGGATGTGGCAGGACCCCCCCCAGCTCTGCTACAGAGGAGGTGGAACCAGGTACATTCTCTCTCCTGACTCAGTTTCCCATCCATAAAAGGGGGGCAAGGACAGCAATAATGGTGGGTTTAGACTAGACATAGTTTTCAAACTTACTACACTTCTGAATCACATAAGGAGATTTAAAAAACAACAAACAAACAAACAAACCCACCTTATTTCCTGAATTCTACTCTCACTCTGATTCATTGGGCCTAGAGAGAACCCTCCCAACTGAGCCTTCTCCAAGCCTCGGGCAAGAATTTGAGTGTGGGCCTGTAGCGCATAATGTTTCATCATGGCGGTTTGACTCCTGTAGCCCCGGACTGGCAGCATTCACAGGCCTCATTCCCCAGTACCCCAAGGCAGCCAGTTCTGCCCCAAACCCTGATAGAGTCATTTGCCCCAGGAGTCTGCAGTAAGCCTCAGAAGAAGAGGGTGCTGGGAGTGGCTAATCCAGCTCATAGATCCTGGTCTGGAATCCTGGCCTTGCCTGCATTATCACATTGGTGTCAAGTTCTAGGGAAGGGAATGAAGAGACTGTTAACAGAGAGTTTGCCCAGGAAAAAATGTCAGGGATAGACTCAGCCTGGGAATCCTGTCCAACGTAGCCTTTGGAAGGGAGAGCTCAGAGGCATATGGTCACAATCTCTCTAACACTTGGAAGAATGGTCTTGGGGAGAAAGAGCGATTAGAGTCATCCTGAGCAGCCCAAGAAGACAAGCTCTGCCCCATGAGAGCAAATTACAAGGATATAGATTTTGGTTGAATAGGAAAACACCGTTCCTGAGGAGTCCAGTAAGAAAGGTATAGGTTTGGGAGGTATTGAGCTCCCTGTCCCTATAGGAATGCAAATAGGTGGTTGATGTCTACTATGGAAGATGTTGTAAAGGCAGCCTCAGACAAGGGTTGCACTCAATGACATTTAATGCATGGTCGTGATGAAATCATCTGACCAACCACCGCATTTTACAGATGAGGAACTAGAGGTCCAAGTTGGAAAGTCTCCTGCTCAACGTTCCAGAATAAGTCTTCACAGCCTAGAAGGTGCAGGCCCCCAACACCCAGTTCTGTGGGTTTCCCCTGCAACACACCTTGAACTGCGGGGGCTGGCCACCTGCTGCAGACTTCTCCTTGTTTTCTTGCCCACCATTCTTTCATTGCTCCCATCAGGGAACGAGTGCCCAGAGCCAGAGCCTCCTGTCCACGGGAAAATCGAGCCCCTGCAAACCACGTATTCCTTCAAAGACCAGGTGCTCATCAGCTGTGACGCAGGCTACAAAGTGCTGAAGGTACAGGGTGCTGCTGGGGGAGGAAGAGCCACCAGGCCAGAGAAATGCTCCAGTGCCTCCCGAGGCAGATGGGCTTCCAGAACTTGTCATGATCCCACCACAGTATTCGCTAACTTCCCCATAAACCTCCAACGTGTTCCGGAAATTCAGTCGTCTGAAAATCCAAAGCGTGCATCCCAGATTTTCACATCTGGAAATGGCACAGAAGTCTTGGGCTGATTTGAATTTCAAAAACAAAGGACAAAGGACAAACAACCTTAACAAAGTTCATCTATCAGGCTTACTGGGGGAAACTGGGACAGGAAGTGGAGATTTTAGAGGTGGCAGACAGACATTGCTCACTCTCCTAGGAATCACCTGTCTAATTTAAAAATAATACAAAATCACCTCCCAGGCCCCACACTTGAGATGAATTTAAGCAGAATCTCTGGGCGGGGTCAGTGATTGTTTTTTCTGTTATGTTACCCAGGTGAGTCCAGTGTGAGCCAAACTAGAGGAAGGCTCTCAAGGAATGGGCTTCCACGTGGGGTCCCCACCACAGCATCACATCACTTATTAGAAATGCAAACCATGCTCTCCAAGCCAGACCCACTGAATCAGAAACTCTGGGGGTGGGGCCCAGCAGTCTGCAAAAGATACTGATGCCTACTCATATTTGAGAGGCACTACTCTAGAACGGGAGTCAGGGGTAAAAGCTTCCCCTCCCAGACAGTTGTCCAAGCCCTTTCTTCCACACAGTCCTTGCCCCTCTCCACAGTAGGAAAGGGTACTATGAATTCAGCATCTCCCTTTTCCTTATCATCAAGCTTGACCTTGGAGGCCCATGGTTGGCAAATCTCAGTCAAGGACAACTGGGTTTGGAATTTGAGCTGGTTATACTGGGAAACAACCACCGAGCCCACCCCTCCTCCTTCTTGCCATATCTTCTTCATGTTTCTTCCTAGGATAATGTGGAGATGGATACATTCCAGATTGAGTGTCTGAAGGATGGGACGTGGAGTAACAGGATTCCCACCTGTAAAAGTAAGAAAACAAAATTGGTCTATGATAAGGATAATGAGCTCCCTAGCACTGGTGGGTTCCAACCAGAGACCACACAAGGGTGAAAACCTGACAGGTGTGCTCAAGGAGGGGTGGCAGCAGGAATTCAGTAAACACATGAGGGCTGGACCAAAAGGCTATTAGTGTTTCTTTGAGCAATAAGACATCAAGCTTCCAAAAGAAACTTTTTGTTGGTCCCAGTTTACTTCCTAAATGCTAATTCACCTCTGTCTACAGACAGGTTGCCACACTTGCTACAGGAATAAGTAGCTTGTCCCCAGGTTTCAAAGTAGCTCTGGCAATTGCTAATTCAGGAAACTATTTCAGCACCAGTGCCCAGAGCTCAGTGACCTTGCCAGTCTCCATGTGGCCATCAGCCATACCCACTAAGGTTTCTGGAACAGCTCATGATTTAAGGCCTGTCAGGAAAGGCTGTGAGGTCAGTGCAGTGGGTATGTGTAAAGCAGGGGACACAGCTCTGCATGGGCTCTTGAGACCCAGAGTTCTTGCATTGGCTCTGCTCCTAACCCACCCTGCGACCATGGACAAGATCCTTCACCTCAAATGGAAAATAAAAAGTTGAACTAGCTTTAATACTCTAGAATATATTGAGGTGTCTCTCCAATAATGTAGTCCATGTAAATCACTTAGTGAGCATTGTAAAAATATAGATTACCAGCCACCACCCTGTTCCCTTATCCAGGTAGTTCTGGTTCGAGACTTGTAAAGACCACCGTTTTAGGAAATTCATTATGGCAGCAGTGAGGAAGGGAGGTGTGGTGATGGCAAGGGAAGGAAGAGAAGGGGAAAGGGGGGGATTGGCTTTAGGATGGAGAGGTGAGAAGTCAAGAGTTAGGGTTGGTCCCGCCCGGCCCCATGACTACATATAAACTGTGGAGTGGTGTCCTTGTCCCTTCTTCTAAAAGGCTCAAATTCCATAAGCAGACAGATTCACTCCCACAGCCCCAGGGGGACAATGTCAGGGTGAACTGTCTTTAGGCAAATCCCAGGCAGAGTTTTGGAGAATATTCTTGCTTTTTAATTTTTCTTTTTTAACATGATGATGTGGCTGGAGTCAGAGCACAGTGTGGGAAAGGGGGGCATCTTATGGCTTCAGCAAACATTTACTGGATGCCTATAGGGAATTCAGATAGAAATGACAAGGTCCAGAGACTGAGGAACTCAAATGCTAGGAGACACATCCACCACCTCGTCCGACACGTTGCTCACGTGTAGTGCTGTAACTAAGTTCTGTGGGAAGAAAAGCACTGTGCAGGGCAAAGCAAGGGGGCATTCTGAAGGAGGAAGGAAAAGAGAATGTGGTGTGTGGAGGACAGGATATTTTTAAAGTCAGGAAGTTCTAGATCAAATCCAGACTCAACCAGGTGAATGTTCCCAAGCAATGTACTCAGACTTTTGGCCTCAGTTTCCTGCATTCTTGATTCTTCGAAGGAGCAATTGAGTTACTGTACATATCATACCTGTGGACCAACCAGGAATAAATGAAAGCCCAATAAAAGCTCCTTTCTCCACCCACCCCCCATTAGGCAGTGGTTTGGTTTCTCTCGTTCATGCTTTTGGGAGGTAGAAAACTTTAATAATAATTTTCCCTCTAATAAAGCATGCACACTTTTTTTATTGTAACAGAAGAGCTGATAAGAGTAACACACTACCGTATTTGATGGTACCATTTTATGCAACTTACGTTAGTATACAAAAGAATGCCTGTCATTTTGTACTAAAGAAAAGAGGGGTTTTTTTTTCTCCTGAATATGACCTAGTTCTTCCAGGATAGCCCAGATTACGATTATTAGAATCCCCATTCAGACATTCCTGGTGGCTCTGCTCATTCACTGAGCAGGTTCTTACTAAGCATCTCTCTGCCCCAGGCATGGGCTGGGTCCTAAGGGAGGTGCAGAGATGAGCAAGACTGAGAAATTTCAAGTCCCTGGGGATTGTGGGAAAGAGGTGGGGAACAGACAGGAAGTGTGCATGTGTGGTGAAGTCACTTGCACTGGAACAGGAAGTGGAAATTATGGGTTGTTGTCCCGACCCTGCCTCCACCTTGCCACGGTGACCCAAGACAAGTCCTGCTCCACCCTGCATGCCGTGTGCCAAATGAAGGTTTGGACCAGATGAATACAAAGCTTGCTCCAGGGGCAGATGCTGTAATCCTCATGAGCCAGGCCTTGTGACTGTGCAAATTCTCAGAATGGTACAAATTCCACAATCCCAAACTGTCACCCACACCGGCTGTACCTCAACTGCATTCTTCATCAGTCTAGTGGAGCGATTTCTGTATTTCCTGCATGAACTGTTTCTGCTTTGCTTGCTAATTTTTCTCTTTCTCTTCTTTTTCTCTCTCTCTCTTCCTCTCTCTGCTTCCTTTCCCTGCACCTCCTGACCCTTCTTTGAACTTCACCCTGGTGGCAGAAACCGAAATGGATGAGGAGAACGAACTCGGGTCAGAGCAAGAGACAGAGTGAATGACAGGACCCCACAGAGTACAGACGTCCAGGAATGGACCACTCACAAGACCCTGGGGTCCCAGAACTACTGCACCCCTCCCCACCCCGCCAACACTCCATTTCCACTTTCTGTGCGGATTAGTGTGGATGCTGAACCAGGCAACACAGTCAAGCAGTTGAAACTGCTGTGTAAAGGACAATTCTCCACTGGAGGGCTCACTCATCATTGAATCAGTACGCTGGAAAATAATGAAAGGACAAGGGGGATTTTTTTTTTTTTTTTTTTTTTTGTAGCACCTCCAAGTGGACAGTACTCTTCTCAAAGGACAAATGACTTTGGTCCTAGAGACCCAAGATTTCATATACAACCACATGCCCCTAGGCTGACCAGGTCAAAGTGGGCCCTGGCTCCTAATCCACTCCACACTTGAAGCTGAAATGGGCCAGAAGGCCTGTGACTTGATGACTTTAATATTTTTATCTGTGGCTACTTTCTAACAACCAGGAGTAGGTGAAACTAACAATAACTCATAGAGCATGGGTTTTGTAGGAAACCTAGACATAGTCTCATCCATGAAAGTTTCTATTCCACCTGCACCTAACCCGGGGCTGAAAGTGCATTATCAGAGGTTCTTTCCTCTGGGCCGGGGCTTACAATCTTGCATTTCTGAAAACTCGCTGATTAAAGGTTTCAAAAGAGGTCTCACCCTCAAAAGCAGCAGTCCTCAGCTTTGGTGCAGTGGGACATCACTGGGTCCCACGATAAAGGGCTCTGTAGTGGCGGTGGGAACCTCTGCTTCAGCCTGAACAAAACCGGAATAGACATATCAGAGAAGCCGTGCATTACACTGTGACTACTCAGTCTGTGTGGTGATTACATGGGCTCTTGATGCAGACAGAACCCTGCAAGGGTGGGTGATGGCAGGTGCATAGATTGTGGTGCTAGCCTAGGGCAGGGGTGCCCCTGAGAGCAGAGAGGAGGTGGGCAGTAAAGATGAGCATCAGTTCAATCAGTATGGTTATGTCCCCAAAGTGTAACAGATATTGTACTCAGTGAGATAGAGGGAATCCTAATTTAGGCAGAAGATTTGATATGGACCCCAATAATGGCAATACCGGGCAACGTAAGATAAATGTGTCAGAGAGATGAATATGAATAGAGGCCTCTGTAAGGAGAAAGGAGGAGGCAGTCCTATCCAATTAGAAGACTGCAAAAAGACTCTCAAGAAGAAGCAGTGTTTGATCAAGGCCTCAGGGTGGCCAGAGCATGGACCCCAGGGGTTCCGGTGTGGGGGAAGCAGGTGAGGAAGCGGCACAGTGAGGGCTCTGTGATGCTGGAGCTCAGGTGCACCGAGGGCGGGGACCAAGAGGCGCTGGGGTAGGGGGCCGTCCCTGAGGCCGGAGGGCCGGGGGGAGCCCATGGTGTGTCCTTCTCCAGGAAGCCCCGGATTGTGGCAGAGCACACTCAGGATGGCGGGTCAAGAAAGATGTGTCTGAAGGAAAATAAACGTCAGCCAGAGATGACAGCAGAGACAGAATGTGGGGTGGTGTATCCCATCCCAGAGAATGAGGAGAAAGGGAGGCCAAAGGAATGGAAACATAAAGGACATTTTGATTCCAAGGTGTGGAATTGGCCAGAGGGAACGTTAGGGAAAGGGTGAGACCCTTCCTAAAGCAAAGAAGCGAGACCAGCTGAGGAAGCGGCCTCTGGGTGTAGCATCTTTGATTGTGCCAGGGCTCAAGGCCCCTCGGAAAGGGAAGTCGTCCCCAGGTCCCAGAGAGACATGGCCGTTCACCTGCCACAGTAGACTTGGGAGTAGAATCATACCACCCCCACTCACCATACCCAAGCTGAAGCGACCTTCTATTTTATACCACTTCTCACCTCTATCTGGCTATAGGGTTACTTCTCTGGAGTGATAGGAAAGCAAAGTTACTTCTCTGGAGTGATAGGAAAGCAGGCCCTCTACTCAGGAAATAACTCCCCACCCTTGCTGGCCAAGTAACAGGCTCTCAGTAGCCTGACCAGGTAGCCGTGTCCAAGGCCAACCCTGCAATTCCTCCCCCTGGAACTAGGTATTAGGTTCAGAGAATACTCTAGGCAAAATGAACTGCTAGGCCAACGTTAGGAGAGACAAGAGTAATACCAAGATCCAGGCACCAGTCAATGGCATTTCCTAAAAAAGGAAGAAAAATCTGCTTTGAGGCTCAGCAAGAAAATACATTTAAAACTGTGTTATGGCTTTAAATAATAGCTATTATCGCCTCTTGTGATCCTAGTGCTGACTCTCACTCACACAGTGTGGTAGAGTGTCTCCATTTTTGGGTCATCAAAATGAATAGGAACGATTTGTCCAAGGGGATTAGAGGTCAAGACCAAAGATTAACCAGTCCTCTTGGCTTTTGCATTCCTTGTGGATAGGAGGCACCTGTTTTACTCTCAGCCTTCACCCCTCTCCTCCACAATGGAGGGCCTTGCAGTCAACTCTGTTTTAGATTAGGTAACTCTTTATTCAATCAAAATGATGAATTTAGAGTTCTAAATTTAAAAACTACAATTTCTGGGTAGCATCTCAAGGGCAAATTGCCTTCTCTCTGTGTCCCAAGGAGGGGGAAACTGGAAATTCTTCTTTTTGGAATACTGTCCTCTGAAATAACCAGGAGATTATTAGCTAATGTCCATCATTACCCAGTTAATATTGATTTTAAGCCATTTTAAGTAGAAAACAGATCCTTAAGAACTGTCGGTTGGTTTTCTTAAAAGAACACTGGGTTTAAAGTCAGGTCTAGTTTTCTGATTGTAACTCGCTGTGTGACCTTAGGCCAGCCAAGTCTCCTCTCTGAGCTCATCTGTAAAGTTAAAATGATATTCTGGATTGTCTGCCTTGGGGTTCCTTATCAACTAAAAAGTTCCATGATTCTACTATGATTCTTCAACTCTGGCATAGCCTGTTAGACCTAAGATGAAGATTTCCTTAGAAGTGAACACCACCCCCTAAAGGAGGCTCCCGAAGAGGCCCTGACAAATGGGGGCCTCAGCCTGTGACTTGGCTTCTGACAGACTCATGCTGGACTCTGTGCTGGCGATGCCCCTAAGACCACCTCTGAGGAGCAGGCATCCTACAGCGAGGCCCAACATCCAGCCCCCAGCAATTGGAGAACATAAGCAGGTGAATAATGGAAACTTAGTCTACCCCAGATCTCACCTCCCGCCTTCTGTGACCAAGCAAGATGCCTATGGAGAGCCAGCAGGGTAGGGTCCTGTACTCACGCAGGAGCTGCTTTCTTTCTGTTTGATTTGGTTTTTGTATGCCAAGCACCAGTGTGAGCACATTAACTGCTCTTACTCAGCATGTGTTCGGTCAGGAAGAACTGAAGATTCTTCTGTTTGTGTCAACCAGAGTTTTTTCGCTGAGCTGGAGGCCTCGTGCTTAGACAGGAGAGACTAAGAGGATTGCGTAATAGAACTGGAAGTCAAGGAAAGGGCTCTGTGGGGGAAAGTCTGGGGTCTGCTTAAATCTCAGTAGTCCTGCCCCTTCCCTGGAGTTGACACCAGGCCAGGTGAGTTGGCCACACGGTAGTGCCACAGTGGATGGGAGAGACCCCAAAAGCAGCACCACCCCAAGGCAGACAATCCAGAATGCACAGGCCCTGTACCATTCTCACAGACTATAGCATTGCTCTCTGCAGGTGTGTGCAGTGCACAACCTGCACATCTGTGTGAGATGGACCCACCATATGGCCCCAAGAAGGAGAGCAAAGGTTAATTGGGGGTGTCACTCTCTTTTCTCAGTTGCAGACTGTGGAGCCCCAGCAGAGCTGAAACATGGGCTGATCACCTTCTCCACCAGGAACAACCTTACCACATATAAATCTGAGATCCAGTACTCCTGCCAACAGCCGTACTATAAGATGCTCCACAATATCACAGGTGAGCCGTCCATGCTAAGCCAGCACGTTCCCGCCTCACACCATTTGGGTCTCAGGGTTGGACCGGGGGCTGCAGCAGCCAGACCACTGGCTGAAGTGTGGGAGGAATTGGGAGGAGAAACATTAGGCGGCATGCCTCACCTCTCCCTGCCTCAGGCTGATGTCCCAGGGGTTAGGCCACAGGGCACCCCAGTACCCTCACATGCACACCCAAGGCCCTGGCAGACAAGGAACCCTCAGGGAGATGGCAAAGCCCTCCAGCTCTGCCTCCACCACAGACTGGTACTAAGAAAATTCTTCCAAGTTCTCTAAGCTTCCAATCCTCACTTTCCAAGAGGGGAGCAGCGGTATAATTCACAAAGCTAATGTAAGACTCAGACAAGATGGTGGACACTAGTGTGGTTTCTTAAAAAGTTTATTAAGCGGGGAAAGGAGAGAAGGCAAGTGTGCCACAAAGAACTCTGGGGGACCTGGTGCCTGAGGGGGAGGAAGGGCCGGCTGGGGGGGGCGAGGGGGCAGAGGGAGGAGCACCCCCTGCCCCGGGCAGGAGTCTGATTGTGCACAGCTTCAGGTACCCTGCTGAAGAGTGTGCTGTTTGTTTTTGAGGGCAATGGGGAGCCATTGGTGATTCTGAGCAGAGGGAAAGCATAGATTTCCATTTTAGAAAGATCCTTCAGGTTGCAGGGAGGACTGGCTTAAAGAGAATGGCATCAGAGAGACCATTTGGAAGACGTGCAGTGGTCCACCATAGAATTAGGAACCCAGATCTATTTTCCACGTGCTACAAATCAACCCTTTCTCCCTCTTCTCCCACCTTTTTTCACTCACCCAGGTATATATACCTGTTCCGCCCAAGGAGTCTGGATGAATGAAGTACTGGGGAGAAGCCAGCCCACATGCCTGCCAGGTACCTGACTCTCAAGTCCTCTGCCTCCAGGTCTCCCATCCAAGGTGCTCTGGCTGTTGATGAGTGGGGATGGGGACCATGATGCTTTGGTTCTTTGTTAAAAGATATCTCAGAGAGCCAAGGATAGAGACGCCCAACCTCACACTTTTGCAAACCAACCAGCTTCTATATTCAGCCTGTGCTATCACACCAAGAGCCTTCCTGTCTCCTTTCTCTGCAGTTCTGCTCCCTTCCCACCAGGCTTTCCCTCCAACGGTTTGTGTGTGCACCCGCTGTGCACCAGGAAAATTAGGAATGTGGCCATCCTGTCCTCAAGCACTCACTGTGCTGTAGGGGAGACGAACAATGTAAGACAAATAACAAATAAGTATAGGACAGAGTAAGAAGTTCTTCCAAAGAGCAACCTGTTCAAGTCTTACTGACTGCTACAATTCTATGGCTCACCTACTGACCCCATTTTAAGATGAAAAAAGAATTTTGTGGTAATAGAAAGTGTCACTATGCATAGAGATTTGGGGGACATTTTGTAGATATTTGCTTTAGCATTAAAAGTATGGGTGATTTGCATTGCAATCATAGGGCACACTTACATTCAAATCGACTTACTAGAAAATTATAGCCTCAAATGCACACTGTAGGGTGAAACAAATAATCCACACCCCAAAAAATTAATAGTCATGGCACAGATATTTATACTTGTAATAAAAGCAAGAATAGCAGAATTGATTTAATTAATCAAGCAGAATTAATTGAAAGACACAACCATTCAGAGCAGCACTGGGGATCGATGCTGATCCCATCTGCATGTTCACTGGAAAAGCAGCAAAGCATGAGCTTTGCCGTGTAGTTAAACGTCGGGTGGCATTTGCATTTTATGAATTAGAGTGTTGGGAAAACTAAGTGTATTATCTGAATGGTACATTTTAGTAACCATCAATATCCACTCAGTAAGCTTCTAGATGTTAGATTTAGATGTTAAAATGGAAAGACTATGGAGTTGTCTGCCACTGTCCTCAAGAACCAAAGAAAATGTTAGCATTCCATGTTGGCCATCACAGTGGCTATGAGATCCTAGAGAAGGAGGAATTCACTGCGTGTGATAGTCTGGGAGTGGAGGGGTGAGGACTGGTTAGGAAGACTTCACTTGGGAGGGCTTTATGCCCAAGAGAGAACTTGGAGGAGGTGGAGCAGAGGAAAGGTCAAGCCACTCATACTCTGCTGATTCCCATCATCTCATTTAGGCTTAGTCTGGAGCACATTCGAGGGCACAGTTGGTGAACCCTCAGAGAAGATAGGGAATGGTGGAGCTGTGGCAAACTGGAAAATCTAATTCCCATTTTGCTAAAATACCATGTGGGCCAAAGGAAAAAGCATTTCAGGCAGATTTCGTCCTGGGCAGCCATGTTGCAACCTCTGGAAGGGGAAGAGGCATTGAGCTGGGAGTCAGGGGTTTGGGTCCTAGTCCTGGTGCTATCATTCTCTTATTGTGATCTTTGGTAAGTAATCTCACCTCTCTGAGGCTAGGATTCCATACCTAAGAAGTGAGGGAGCAGGACAAGGTGATCCGTAACATTCTATGACCCTTAACGGTCATCATCCTCTATATTTATACAAAGCATCTTAGATACAGGGAGTCATGAAATTCTTTTAATACCTGGCATTGGGAAGAACCATGGTTCACCATTGGACCATGCCAGAGATTTCTAAAGTCTTTCCTCCTAAAACATCAAAATTGAACACAGAAGCAAGCCAGAAAGGGGAAAGCCGTTTTATCTAGCATCATAATATCCACCTTTCCAGGGAACCTTATTAAGCAAATATTATTTGCCCTTCATTTTACATGTGAGAAAACTGAGGATCAGTGAGATGCAATGATTTTCCCAAGGCTACCCACAGAGTTAGGGGCAGAGCTGGAAGGTGAAGCGAAGACTTTGATATCAGCACAAGCAATGCTGAGACGTTCTTGACTCTGATTGTGTTTCATGCCATCCTCATGGACCCAGAATTATACAATATCACATTTTTGTTTCAAGGGCCCTCTCTCAGTACCTCCAGTGCTCTAGAGCCCAAATCTGGCTTCAGCACAGCTGAAGCTCTAGGTTTTCAAGAAGACACCTTTGTTCTAGGAAAGACTGGATGGAGAATGGTAGCAACCAAAAAGAATGGCCTCATTTCAATGAGCTCTCTCAAAGCTTGTTGCATCATTCAACCTCTTGAAAGGACAAAAGCATATCAAGAAGAAAAACTTTAGTGGAGAAAATGAAGCAAGAGTTAGAAGAAATGGGCTCTTCTTCTGGCTCTGTCACTAATGACTTTGAGTATGTCACCTGCCTTCTCTGAACCTCGATTTCTGTATCTGTAAATTAGTGGTTCTCCAAGCTTCCCCAGCTCTGACACTGGCAAAAGGCACCATTCAGTGCTGGCTTTGTTGGAAACATGGACTCAGCCACAGGCCTGGCCCTCACCAGATGAGGGCCTTTCAGCACTAAATGAGCTATTGTGCAGGGCCAGTCACAGATCGCCTTGAGATGTCACCTCATAGGCTGTGGCTTGTAACTAAGAGCCTGGCCTTCCACTCTGGAAGACCAGGCCACAGAAAGTTAGCAAAGGCCAGCTCACATCTGGCCTGGTGGGAATGACAGGGTGCCTAAGGATCATGTAAGAAACCTTTGGCATCAGGAGGAAGAACATCTGAAAAGCATTAGATTGCTGAAAACCTGACCTCCCAAAGTTGCCAAGAAAATTTAAATGTTCCTTGGTCTTTAAAGGATCATTGAAAGTATCCAGGACCAAAGAGTATAGCCTGGCTATTTGCAACCAGGAAGAAGCCCATACTCACACCAGGCTTACCTCCTAGGCCTAAGAACCCTGCTGGGAAGGCTCATGTGAGCTTGTTCTTGGCCAGTGGAGGAGTGGTACTGAAGACCCCTGCTCATGGGCCAAAGGCGTTTGGCTGCAGGAGGCTGGTGGTGCATGTGCATGCTCGGGGTACAACTCAGTGGAACGAAGTTTGATCAGACCTTTCTTCTTCCCCTGAAGGTACTGCAGGGTTCCTGGGTGCAATGATGGGTGGCTCAGAGCAGGGCCTATGCATCATTGCTTGTAGATTATGCCATGTTTCCCTAACCCTGGATGCCCTGTGCACACATTCACAGCATGAGTCCTTTAGGCCAAAGAAGAAAAAGTTATAGAGCCCATGACCATGATTTGTACATGTAATGAAGCACTGTGGGATATAGGACAAGACATTGATCTTAGAATCTAGTTAAGCCCTCTGCTAATGCCCCTGTTAACTTCATAGCCATGTGACCTTGGGCTAATTGCTTAACGTCTGGAGAGTTTTACTCACCTATAAAATGGGGGTGGCCAGGGAACATGAAATAAAAATTGAGGGAATTTGGAATTTGAAAGATCCACAGAGATCATATTGACCAGCTGCCTCATTTAGCCGGTCAAAAATTTAAGTCCAGAGAGACAAATTTACTTACCCAGAATCGCACAGGACATATGAGAGAAAAGCCAGGTCAAGGCCCCAGGTATCTTGGCTCCCAGTCCAGTGTTCGCTGTGACCTGCTAGACAGTCTTTTAGTTTCCTTCCATCTCTCAAAGCCCATGACCTATGGTTTCCAGAAGTTTTCTAAGTATCCACAGCATGGGCCACTTCTGGAATATCCAGGCCAAAGTGAACTTGGCTGGAAATGGTTCAGGATGGTGAAGGCCCATGCATGCAATGGTCTGGTCCATAGATGGCACTGGCTACAGAAGAGCTAGACCACACACAGGCCAACTGGAAAGACTTAGGTCAAAAGTCACACCCATGCAGAGCTCTCCCGGGCCACCATGGCCCTGTAATGTAGAGTAGGGTCCCATGTTGGCATAATCTACAGTGGATGAGACGTGAATTTCTTTCTGTGGCTCTTTTCACATGGCTGATCTGACCAGTCCCTGTTTCTTATCCCCATTCCCTCCTTCTCCTTACAGTGTGTGGTCAGCCCTCCCGCTCACTGCCAAACCTGGTCAAGAGGATCATCGGGGGCCGGAATGCTGAGCCTGGCCTCTTTCCATGGCAGGCCCTGATCGTGGTGGAGGATACCTCGAGGGTGCCAAATGACAAGTGGTTTGGGAGTGGGGCCCTGCTCTCCGAGTCCTGGATCCTCACAGCAGCCCACGTGCTGCGCTCCCAGCGAAGAGACAACACAGTAATACCGGTCTCCAAGGAGCACGTCACCGTCTACCTGGGCCTGCATGACGTGCGGGACAAATCAGGGGCTGTCAACAGCTCTGCGGCACAGGTGGTGCTCCACCCAGACTTCAACATCCAGAACTACAACCATGACATAGCTCTGGTGCAGCTGCGGGAGCCCGTGCCCCTGGGGCCCCACGTCATGCCCATCTGCCTGCCAAGTCCTGAGCCCGAAGGCCCAGAGCCCCATATGCTGGGCTTGGTAGCTGGCTGGGGTATCTCCAATCCTAATGTGACCGTGGATGAGATCATCAGCAGTGGCACGCGGACCTTGTCAGATGTCCTGCAGTATGTCAAGTTACCTGTGGTGCCGTATGCAGAGTGCAAAACCAGCTACGAGTCCCGGTCGGGGAACTACAGTGTCACAGAGAACATGTTCTGTGCCGGCTACTTCGAGGGTGGCAAGGACACATGCCTCGGAGACAGTGGTGGGGCCTTTGTCATTCTGGATGACTTGAGCCAGCGCTGGGTGGCCCAAGGCCTGGTGTCCTGGGGGGGCCCTGAAGAATGTGGCAGCAAGCAGGTCTATGGGGTCTACACGAAGGTCTCCAACTATGTGGACTGGGTGTGGGAGCAGATGGGCTCCCCACAAGGTCTGGGAGAGCTCCAGGTGGAACGGTGAGCTGACCGACGTCCTCAGGGCCGGCCTGCCCTCCCCCAGCCTGAGTGAGGCTGTACGCGCACTTCCGACGGCACACTCCAAGTTACTCACCAGACCAAACGGAATGGAACCCTTCCTCCCAAGACAGCCCCCGGGGCTCTGAGAGGCAACAGTGTGGTACAGGAAAAGGCTGTATGCAAGAGGCCTGGGTCCACGGCCCTGAGCGAGCCCCTTCCCTTCTGTAGGCCTCACTCTCCCCTGCAGTACAATGAGGGAACTAGCCCTCTGGCTAATCCCAGCACTCCTCTCCAGAAGGGCCTGACCCCGGTGGCCTTATGCACTCCTACTCACTTACCAAACCCTTCGGTCCCACTGTTGGTGTGCCTGAGCTTGGACCTGATTGTTAGAAAACCATCCCTTATGTTGAGCTGAACACTGAGTCCATCTATTTTCTCAAATTGGCCCTCGGCACAGACGAGTCTAGTCCCTTTTAGGGGGAAAGCACTCAGGCTTGAGGAGACAGGGGTCAGACCCCCAAGGCCCTGTCTCCTAGTGTGATGTCTTGGGGTACTTTCATCCCTTGGATTTCTCTCCCAAAAGTTTCTTGTAATCCAAGCCTTATCCCTGTGTTCTCTATTAAAGGAAATCTCTCTATTAAAGGACAAAGAGAAAGCTGGAAAGCTTTGTGGTGACTAAGGGGAGGAGAATATCAGTGGGAGGCTCCCCATCCCTGAGAACTTCCATTGTTGATTTTGAACACATCATTTAGACTCATGTGTCATTCTCCAGTACCAGCTGACAACACAGGTGTCCACACCTGCAACTCCAGACAAGCATGAAGCAAACTTCCAGCTCTGAAGGATATCATCTGAAAAGGCCACCTGAGCCCCAGTCCCAGGAACAGAGACTCAACTGGATTGCCTGGAAAAAGAGAAGGCCCACACCGTGCCCCACTGTGTGTGCTTCTAGGCAGGAAAATGGAAGAAGGAGTGGGCTCAGGACATTAGGTGTAACTTGATCCCGCCAGATCATCTGGTGTGCCCGCAGTCTGAGCTCTTCAGAGAACCCACCTGGCATGGATGTTCACAGAGATCCAGATCCACTCCTTGGGTTTCCAGCAGCCAGACAAGGGAAGCAGAGACTTGCCCGTAAAAGACAGTGAAAAGAGATAAAGCCAAGAGTGCTGAGTTCTAGCCTCAGCTCTGCCCCTAACTGGCTGTCTAACCTCTCACAAATCACTTTTCCTTTGTGGGCCTCAGTTTCCCCATCTGTAAAAGGAAGACATTAGATCCCCCTCAGGGTCCTTCTGACTCTAGCATTTAGTCTTCTGATTGCCCGCAGGCTCTCCCTGAGCCTCACAGGGTTGATTGTGTTCCTTCTCCCCAGAGCTTGCTCTTCTGGGATTTCTCCATCAGAGCGAGGCAGCCAGAGAAGTCCCTGAGAGGGATTCCAAGAGAACAATTGGGAAGTGTCCACTTTTCCAACCGGTTCATGAAAGCACACTCCTATGTAGAGGGTGCTATATTTTGTATATTTTATATCACAAGCTTCACTACTCTGCAAGGCACCTCTGCACTCTGTTTCTCCTGTCAGGGGTCTAAAGTGGAAATAAACTTCCTGTGGATAACCAACAGCCTTCATTCTGGGGTTTGATGATTGTTGACGCTTGTTTATTTTTGGCTTTTTGAAGAGAGACTGGCCCCTCATTAAGCTACTCTCTCTCCCATTACAGAAAAGGTACAGCTTTTGTCATCTGGACCTCATTCAAGAAGGAGTAATGAAGAATGGAGTCGGTTATGGACATGTGTCCCTCTAGGCTGTGCACGCCTTCACTGAAGTGCCTGCCAATTAAGTTCTTGACTTCAAAGAGTCCAAACTAGCATGCAAGACAGGGTCTCATGCATCTAGGTCTCACACAGGTGAAAGGCGTCAAGTGTCATAAGAGAAGTAGAGATTGCAGCACTGTGGGAGCTTAAAGGCAGGAGAGAGTCACAGGGCTGAAGGGGATCTGGAGAGCTTTGCAAAAAGGCTGCAAAGAATGCACCAGGAGAGATGGGCCAGGGTGGATGAAGATCAAGCCGGGAAGCGGGCGTGAGTGGAGCGGGAGCATGGGGAATCCGGGAGAGTGGAAGGAGTCTCGAAGGCTATACTATGTTTGTGCTGTCCTATGACCAGTGATTCTCTAAGTGGGAGTATATCAGAATCACCTGGAGTGCTCGTTAGAAATGCAGGGTCTCATCGACAGGGAATTCTGAATGCGTAGACCTGAGGGTGGGCAGCAGGGTGTGGGAAGTGGAGGGAAGCACTCTGGAGAGAGATGGTGAAAACCCACCAGACCTAGGGCTAAGCTGGTGCAGATGTAGATGCGGGAGGAGTTTAAAACATCCAAGTAGTGTATTCAGCAGGGCTTGGTGTATAGGAATCCTATGAAATGGTGCAGGCATGGAGCGGGGTCAGGTGCATAGCTAACCTGTTAGCGAGGCTTCTCCATGGATGCACTCATGGTTTGCCTTTGTTTGGGGTTTGTATCATAATGAAAACATCATGTTTTTTACACTATTGAGAACTAAAAGAATCTTAAATTGTGCTTGATGTTTTACATGTAACTGGTCTTGAGGATTATCTGTTTTGGATTCTACTAAAAATTTCAAATTTTTCCTTTCCTCTAGATATTTATGTTGTGATGTACTGAGATACTGAGGTACCATGAGGTTACATGGAAAGCACTCTGTGACATGGCATGGAGGAAACACATTACTCTCTGCTTCTCCTAGTGATTTTTTACAAACTTAGGGGCTGATTGAATATGGGGGCTGAAGGAAATGGAGGAAACCGGGATGCCGTCTATGTGGGCATTAACAGACATTTGGAATGTCAGAGGGGAGGAGGTCATGAGCAATCCAGCTGGAGATGTAAGGAAGGAATAGCAAGAAAGGAATGGCTCAGAGGCCAGAGCAGGTCAGAGACACGGATCTGAAATCCATCAGGGTATAGGATAGGTGGTAGGGTGCCACGGGAGGAGACTGGTATTATCTACCATGAGTGTACAGAAGAGTGGACAAAGGACCGATCGAGGGGACCCCAGCATGGAAGGCATGGAGAGAAGAGAAACCTCAAGAAAGAGACCAAAAAGGGGTCGGAAACACAGGAAGAGAAGTGCTTCAGAAGCCACGGAGGGAGCATGAGGAGGGATAAAGTAGTCAAGAGAACCAATGCCACAGGGCACTCTAGAGGACAGTCTCCAGGCAGGACATTCCCCAGGGATAAGCATCCAGTCTCTACTGTCAACTCTGAGAGGATCCAAGAAGCAGGCCCCCTGCTGTGTTCAAAGTCTCCAGCTCTCCCTCATCCTTCCCCTCCTCCCCTTCCTCCTCCCCCCCCTTCTTCCTTCTCCCCCTCCTCTCCCTCCTTCTCCATCTTTCTTCTCTCTCTCTCTCCTCCTTCCCTCCCTCCTTTCCCCCACTCTGTGTCCAGACTTCTCCTAGGTTTTATCTCTCTCCTGAGGCAGGAGACTATACTTACATCCTCCTTTCTCTCTGACTTGGAGTAAAAATCATATGATGGTATACTTAGTTCTCTGGGTTTTGGCTCCTTGAAACCTACAAATCTTTTAGCACAATCCCTGACTCTTCAAATGAAAATTTCCACTTCTAATTTTGGTTTCTGCTTTGCTCCTTCAAAACTCAAAGTTGTGTCCAGCCGCACCTAAAGCACTGGATGCTCCAGCTTTAATAATAGGGAGCCAGAGGGCAAGGGAAATCCCTGGAAATGAAGAATACATGAGAGGAAATTTCAAATAGTATCTTCCTACACGTGTAAATATCACCCTTGAAGTCCCATGAATGGGCCCAGAGCCATTCTACCTCCATCTATGATTGGGGGTCTATTAAATGTCCAAACAGCTACTTTATTCCCAGGAGTGTGCAGAGCCTGGCGCTCTCTTCTTCCAAATCCACCTCCAAAGGAGAAGGAAGGATGTGGAGACTGAGTGTCAACTCCTCTTTTCAGAAGCTTGGCTATGGAAAGGCTGAGAGGGAAAGACTATGGAGTGAATGAGAAGCCAGGAAAGCAGAAGCATGGTTTTAGGGTAAGAAGATGTGGCCATGTTTTGGAGGCATAAGCAAAGGAGAGATTCAAGATACTGGAAAAGGGTGAGAATCCTCCAAGCCAGGCCCTCGAGAGTGTGGAAGTGAGGAGATCCAGAGTCCAGAATTACTTCTGAAGAGAAAAAAGTTTACAGAGGGGGCAGATGGAGAGAAGATGCTTGAGGGAGTTCTCACCCAGTGGGCTCTGAGATTCTACTGGGAATGGGGACAGGACATTAGCCTGGGGCAGTGGCCAAGGACATGCGGAATGAAGCTACTGGGAGATGCTGAAGATGCATCCCAGCCCTACTCAGCAGCTAGGTGACAGTTACAAAGAAGGCAGACGGTTACCTGGGTATGAGTGCTCTGGGAAGTCACACAGGTAAGAGTTAGTGGTGCTGGCCAGGGTAGGAAAAGCTCAGAAGTCAGGAGACCTAGAATGAGTCTTGTCACTAACTCATAGAGTAACTTTTGGCATGTTAATTCCCTTCTTAGAACCTCAGTTTCCTTAGCTCTACAATGAGAGGAATGGACTAAATAGTCTTCAAGCGCTGTTTAGCTATAAGATGCTGTGTGTCTGTGTCTGTAAATCCAAATCAGTGGAAACAATACGGAGCAGGCAGACACTTGTAGGGGTCTTTACCCCCCAAGGCCCTGAGGAAGGGCTTCTCTGAGAAGAGATCCCTGTGGATACAGCATGAAAATTCTTCATTAGTCAGGACTCTTTCATTCATGTGAAAGAAACCCAATACAAACAGCTTACAGGAGGGAGGGAGGGAGGGACAGAGAGAGGGAGGAAGGGAGAGAGAATTATAGGCTCACATAGCTGAAAAGTCCTTATCACAAGGCTTCAGTTATGGTTAGATCAAGGAGCTCAAATATCAGGATACAGTCTCCCTCTTGCTTCACTCTTCCTCATCTAGACTCACTTTTTTCCATTAGTAGCATCATTCTCAGAAGACTCCCCATGAAGTGATCATTGGCAGACCTTAGCTTATAGTCAGCAATTTAGCAACCCCAACAGGAAAGTCCTTCTCTTTTTTAATATGGTTAGCAAAATTCCCAAGGCAGACCTTCACTGGGCTGGCCACAGTTACATTCCCATCTCTGAGCATTCGTCCCCAGAGGATGAGAGGATTTAATTCATCAGGTCTCGGTCACATTCCTACCTCTAGAATCAGAGGTAAGATCATTCCAACTCAGGGCATATGGACTAAGAATTGAGGGAGAATAGACCCCAGAGGAAAATTAGAGTGCTGTTACTTAAAAGAGCAATGAATGCCAGGAAAACAAAAATAATAGATGTTCCTAAGAAAGGGTGTTGAGAGATGCCTGGATGGCTCAGTCAGTTAAGCATCTGTGGTTAAGCATCTGCCTTCTGCTCAGGTCATGATCCCACGGTCCTGGGATTGAGTCCCGCATTGAGCTCAAATAAATAAAAAGAGAGGGTGTTGAGCTGGTATCTCTGGCAAAGAGCAAGATGAAGGCCACAGTGTGATCTGTCCCTCCCTCCTTTGGCTGCAGTGTGTGGGGTCCCCAAGTTCTCCCGAAAGCTGTTGGCCAGGATCTTCAATGGACGCCCAGCCCAGAAAGGCACCACCCCCTGGATTGCCATGTTATCATACCCGAGAGAGCAGCCCTTCTGTGGGGGCTCCCTTCTAGGTAAGGAGATGTGGAAAGGGCTGGGGACCCAGCATTAGGGGGCAGGGTGAAAGTGAAAGAACCCAACCCTCTTCCTGGAGACTGACCAAGATTTCTCCATTGAGATTCACTGTCCACACTAGAAGTGAGACCCAGAAGGACAGTGTGGTAGGAAGAGCCCTTAACTGGAGCTAGGAGATATGTATTCCTGCTCTAGCTTGCTCCTTCAGTCAACAAACACCTATGAAGTCCTGGTCAGTCTCGGGCACTGGGGAGGACTAAGTTGAGGAGTCAGACCCTCAAACACTGATTACAAGGCACTCATGTGAACCTCAAAGGCAAGGTGTACCAGGGCTATGGCACCAGGGAGAACCAGGAAACTCACCCTGGAGAAGCCAAGGAAGGGAGATTTACAAAGGCCCTGAATACCACACTTAGGAATTTAGATCTATCCTGAAGGCTGCTGCAGATTTATAAGAATGTTCTCTCCAGGGGCCATACACATTGAAAGGAGAGTAAATCCTAAAGCCAGGATTTCAGTGAGGTGGCTGTAGCAATTGTGGGGAGGGGAGTCATTAGCCTCAGAATAAGGACAGGAGACAAGGGATGGCAATAAGACAGACTCAACAGCATTAGAAAATAGAATTGTCAGGATTTTGCAATGGAGTGAATGTGGGTGGGAGTGGGAGCAAGGGTGGGAAAGAAATGGCTGATGGCTCTTCCTGCCACGGGTTGGTCCCAATGATCAAAGGTCCATTCCAGCTCTGATATTATAGGAAAAATTGATACCCACCTAGAGTCCCTGGCCAGTTCCTGGTCTGATCTCACCACAAGGAAGAAGGCCTGGATGGGTCCACATCTGCCTGGGCAGCCCCCAGACTGCCAGGCCCTCCTCTCACTCCACTCACACAGTGGAGTCAGGCGAGGACAGCTCCAGGCTAGATCAGTGCTTTTTAAACTTTAAAGTGAATAGGAATTACTTGAGGGTCTTGTTAAAATCCCCAGATTTTACTACCGAATGCAGAATTCTATTTCAATAGATCTGAGGTGGAGCCTGAGAGTCTGCATTTCCAACAAGTTCCCAGATGAGGCTGATGCTGTTGGTCCAGGGACCACAAGGCCTGAAGGGTGGCCAGTAAGCCCAGGGTCTTCTGTGGACCCACCTTGGGCTGTCTGGGGCTCACCAAGCCCATAGGTTTAAGGGAGCCCTAAAACCCTGTTTAAGATGTTCGGTCTTGGCCTCTTGGTTAGAATAGGCAGATGAAATCAGATTTAACTCCTCATCTTCAGATTAGGGTTATATGATTGTCTGACTTGGGGTTCCGAAACGCAATGGAAAGGGGTACCCTGAAGTGGTCTGAAGCAATGGGGGGCAGGACGGGGCAGTGTACGGCAGAACATATGTACAATTCCGTTCTCAGGCTCCAGCTGGATCGTGACTGCCGCTCACTGCCTCCACCGGTCGCTCGATCCAGATTACCCAGTCCTACATGACTCAGACCTGCTCAGACCTTCTGACTTCAAAATCATCATGGGTGAGTGAGGGGCAGGCTGACTCCTGAAGCCAGCATTGGTTCTGGGCATGGGGTGTGTCCACTCGCTCACTTATCAGGGCAGGACATCTGGGATGAAGAACAAGCTGGAACTGGAGTCCAAGCCCAAGGCTAAGATTTTCAGGTGGCGAGACCACGAGCAAATCACTGAAGTCGAGGCCTCCATTTTTATAATGGTAAAATAAGAGCCCAGTCTAGATCATTCTAAAGACACTTCAGGCCTCTAGGAATCCATGGTTTCAAGGGAGTCATACCCAGACAATCCCAGCTTACCATCTCTTCTGTAAAGTCTAGACCATCAGCTGATTCAGTTTGGTTCAGCACATCGTTCAGCACATAGTCACACTACAGACCCTATGCCAGGATCTAAGAACACAATATAATTAAGACCTAGTCCCTACCCTCAAGGAACTTACAGTCTAATAAAGGAATAAAATATGAGCACAGAGACCTCTAGTATAAGATAGGAAGCAGTAAGTCCTATAGGAGAGAAACAGATAAGGTGCCATGGGAATTCAAAAGAAAGAGACTTGTAACTGAAGAATCGAACGCGAGAATCAGGGAGGCTTCCTGGAGGAGAGAACACATGACCCAGGCACTGAGGTGTGATGATATGGTTTGAACATGTGGCAGTGAGCATCAGAATGAGTGTTATAAGGCAATGGGATCAGCTCAAGAAGAAAGACAGAGGTGGGAGCCTATGGGAATACTTGGCGAAGGGCAGGTAGGGTGGGACGGCTGGGAAAAGGGGAGCGGGGGCAGCAAAAGGGTTAAAGGCTGAAAACAGACCAGATGGGACAAGGGGCGACAGGGAACAAGGTGGGACCTTACCCCGTGCCTCATGTGCCTTCTCTCGCCCAGGCAAGTATTGGAGGCGCCAGTCGGATGGGAATGAACAGCACCTCAGGGCCAAACGCCTCTTCCTCCATCCC